CCGCATCGTTGCTTTCCAGTAGGTGAGATCGTGGTCAAACACTTGCCTGGTTTAATGTAAAAAAAACACAAAAAATAGGTATATTTATTTTTTTGAAGAAAATAAAACATAACCGAGAATCATTTATTTAATAACCAAGAAACATATTTATTAGACAATTTAAAAATATTTAAAAGTGAGACATCTGACTTTGTTTTACAGAACTAACAAGTAAGTGCATCAAAATTGATCTGGACTGATGTAGTCGCTACACGCAAACAGTTTTCCAAATGAACATCAGTAATTCGTGTTCTCACTTGTGATTTGATGTACTTCATACGACTAAAAAGTTGTTCACACGCATAAGTGTTTCCAAATAGCGAAACCATTGACAGAGCATGTTTGTAAAACGCAAGATATTTATCCTTGTCCAAATACGTTTCATAGAACTCTTCCAAACCTTCTTAACTCTTCTAATGTTCATTTGGTGATATGTACAATAAAGTTAACATTTATGTTCATTTGACCTAGCTCCGCGGGCCGCAACACGACTCCCGGCGGGCCGCATGCGGCCCGCGGGCCTCATGTTGGCCACCCCTGCTCTAAATTCTCTCATATCAATTAATAAATATTGTTTTTAAAAGCTACAGTGTTAACAAATTAATGAAAATTTTATTATCAATATTTTTTCCACATTGCATAATAAAAGAAAGATATTAATATTGTAAAAAGTCCACATCCTTATAATCCAACTTTAAAAGAAAAACTTACATAAAATAAATTTTAAACATAACATATCAGATATAATAACTAAGTTTACTTATTCACCAACAAAACAAGGTAATTAGAATTACTGTCAACTATACAATTATGCAAAAAATATTCAATCAACTGCATAATTACATTCTCGACATAATAGAAATAAGAAATAGATCTAATCAATAATTTATTTACATCTAGAATTTCAACTTTAGTTTAAAAGTTGAACTGACTTTAAAAAGTTTAGTTTAATTCAATTGAACAATCTCTGTGTTCCTTAGTTATCACATTCAGAAGATTAAGCTCCTAATAGAAGTGTTAACTCCTCTTATCTTTGTATTATAGGAGACTCCCATAATGCAAGTTCTTAATTTATAATTCCCCTTCTTTATGTGATCTTTCTTTGACTGTTTATTTTCTTTTCAGAAATTTATATTCTTACATTCTGCGCTAGTAGCTAATTCTACATTTTTATTGACAAAAGACCCATACAAAATGGTTTAACCTGAGTCTTCTAATTCAAGATGACTCAGGTTAAATCTACTGGTTTTGAACACTTTACTATAATTACAGATGGAATGTCAATATGTGGTTAATAACAGCGAGGTTGCAGCTGAAGTTTTTATCTCTAGAACGTGAACGTCAAGTGCCACTATCTTGTAAGTGGCATCGACGTTCACGTTTTAGAGATGAAAACTTCGGCCACAACCTCGCTAATGATGATAGCAGTTATAATGAAAAACTGTGAAAAAAAGATTAAGTTTTGACAGGAATGCCCAACAATCCACTTAAAAACTACATTAAAAAGTAGCCCAACAATTTGCTCGGCAGCAACGAAACGTCATTTTGGTTTAATATACCACAATCAAAGTATATTTTAAATTATTATTTAGAAGCCAGAGTCGGAGGCTTGCCATACCGACTCCACAGCCCCAAATCTTGCAATCCCTCAAAATAATTGCACGTACCATGCATTATAACCGTTTACCTTTAAAAACAAAAATAATTGGAATATTCTGTGTTGAAATAGTCCAAAATAAAATAATTTTTGAGGAGAAAGATTGAAATCATTGATATATTCTCTTCACTTATGAATCTGTTCTGTCTCTTCTTAAACAGCCATCAAACTGACCAGCTTGTATTAGTCTAGTCAATCGTGTGTCTAATTGTCTAGTACACTAGTTATCTACATTATAAACAAACGGTTTAACAACTAATTGTTTATAATATTTATAAGAGTTTACTTAACGGGAGCAGCGGCACACCGAAAATTTAATCTCGAGGAGCCGAGTCGAACGGATAAAAAAATATTTAATACAAATGCAATAAAATTCCCACCTTACACGATTGCTAGTTCACGAGTAATAGAAGACACGGCATTAATTAAGAAAACATTTTTGGAAAATTTACTATTGTTGTTTTCCTTTTACTTTGAGAGTGTCAGGGTTCCTCTGGGTGGCCACTGAACAGGGAAAATCTTATATTTCTTATTATATTTTAATGTTTGGGTATGATTGAATTCTCCCCCATAAGAAACAATGGTATTTGTCATTTTAATTCCCATTTTTGGCCTAATGAATTGATTTCCAAAGCGAATTTAGATTCGTAAATTAGGAGAGGAACGTGTAATAAAATCTTTTTGACGTTTTCAAGATCAAAGTGCCGAACAATAAATTATAATTCGCTTACTTATCATCAATCATATTAGAAACAGATATACGAAAATTGAGAACGTTTCGTTACTTACTTTCTACTCTTTCTTCCATTAATTATTCGTGGCGTTAATCAGCGGTGTAATGACACATATATATATCTTTCAACATCTCAAAAACAGGTGCCGGCATACGAAACGACATACCCCGTATCCGTTTCCGTCTGTCCAGAAGATAATCGACACATGGCGCCCCCTGCTTAATTTTATGTTAACGGTTTCGAGTTTCGTTATAATAAAAAAATTAAGTGTGGATGAGAAAAGTAAAATTATAAATTTATGCTTTAAAATAATTACCTGTTTTTTCCGTAAAAGTTAAAATGTATAATTATTAGAAAGTGAATGGCATTTTTCTCGTCTGTTTCAAAAGATTATTCAACACATGGCGACCTCTGCTTTATTATATTTATAAGATATTTTAAGTAAAATAAAATAAGTACGAACGTAATAAATTTATTATTATTATTATTCTATCAAAATTGCAATATATAATTTAATTTTATGATTTTTAACAATATATTTGATTCGTGCGATAATGAGAATAAATATGGCTATTTCATTTACAGCGGAACGAAAAAAAAAAAAAATGTATTTAAATACAAGATTCATAGATTTTTATCATGAAATCATCGATAAAATCATGAACAAATGATATACAATCGTTTAGTATATCAGTACGAAGGTTTTTCCGAATGTTTCATTTACACGTTTCGCGTTAATATTGCGACAAAGTTCAACTTAATCTTTAATTTCTACAGCAAGAATTAAGGATAAAATTTCTTTTAAAATGACAAATCATTCATAAATCAATTATAATTAAAAAATGTGCTGATTATTCGGCGTGCCAAGATTCGAACCCGGGTCCTCCAGAGCAATAAGAGGGCGTCTTACGTACCGCTATCGGTCAAATTATCGTACAGTTCAATCAATACAGCAAATTTATAAATTAATTTCCATAAATTAAAACAATGTAATTAAACTATATTTTAAATCATTTCACTATAAAATTCTTGTTATAAATCCATGATTAAGATATGAAAACACTTGAAGCGATGAGGAAGAGTTTGGATTTTTGTTATAAAAATATCCTAAAATTTACAAATGTTATGTTTTTTTAATGGAGAAATAGATAAAAATTAAAGATTAGAGTTAAAACTAATTAAATATCTAATCCGATAAGTATAAATATATATAAATTTATCAACCAGACATATGATACTTACTTACCAAGATGTAAAGGCTATATATTGATATATATCAGTTTCTTGGATAGATATCAAGCTTCAAAATCGTTAAAAATGAATGAAAAAGTAGCAAACTTAATATAAGTATCGGACATTTTTGTTAATCTATATCTATATTCTTGTTATCTATAACTGTATATCGCAAATCGCGATAATTCTTTGCGATAGCGATAATTACACCTACCACTTTAATCTTACCGCAGAGAATGTTTTATAGTATTTTTTGATAAAGTAAATTGTTGTGAAACTATATAAAGGTTATGTTTGAAGCTTTAAAACATTATTTAGTTTTATAGAAATTTTAAAGAGTTAAATTTGCTATTGCAACCCGTCATAGCGAGTGCCTATTCATCATTCGTGACGATGAATAAGCACTCGCGATATCGCAATTATTGACGCAATGAGTCAATAATTGCGATAGCAAATTTTTAAATATAATGCCCAATTTTTTATTAAATTATTTTGATTTTATTAAGTCCAAGAATCATCTGTATTATTTTAATAATTTCTTAAAACAGCGCGACGTCTCGTCGCGTCGCTTCGTATATCATTATTAATCAATATAGTCGCGATTTTATATTATAATAGAGACTAATAAAAAAAATAACCTCCAGAAAACTTCCTTACTTAAAGAAATAAATAGCTATCGAATGCTTTTTTTATAATTCTTAGCTCGATTCAGACACGTTTGTTCTATACCTTGACGTTCTAACATTACGTAAGTTAGATTTCGGTATAGAACAATACATTTTTCAATTTTTGACTCTCCGTCTTGTGTGCAGTAAGATGGACCTTTGCCATGCTCATTACGAGTTCTACCATGTCCGCAAATGGGGTAGTTGAATGGTGATGGACGGTGCCCAACACATACCTCGAAAGCATTATTGTTAATTCCTGTATAATAAAAATACTTGAAGAGAAATCTCGACATTATTCAGCTGCCATTGTACCCATTTTGACAAATATCTTTGGCATCCTTCTCGTTCCGAGATGCACGCGGTAATTCTGAAGAATAAAAGCGTGAGTGAGGTTACGTACAAGAATCTTTTTAATTTTAAAAATTGTTAGCCGCCCTTTTTTATTTCAGAGCCCGCCTGCTTGGCATGCATGTTACGCCAAAGTAGTTAAGGCTTGTTTACGTTATATGTATTTGTCCAGCGAAGTACAGTACATTTCAGTATAGTTCATTAATGGATAGTGGAATATTTAGCTGCTCAAGTTACTGTTATAATGTATCTAGTAACGTAAATATTTCTTTAGTTTTTGATTATAGAGATATTCAGTTTCTATAACGAGTGTTACAGACGCCTTACCGCTAACCGCCACGTTTTTCAAAAGGTCTTTTTTTACAACAAAGTTTTCGATTCGTTGCTGGATTGATTGAGTATATCCCATACCCACGTCTCAATGGTTGCTGTATTTGTGACGTTCTCTAAATATTCTTAGTATATTGGCTGTTGGATTTCAATACTTTTCCGGCACAGCGAAACTAGAATCTGTGGCTATACGACTGGCACACGAATTTTCTGTTCGACAACACTTGTTATTAGAGAGGTTGGGGCTGAAGTTTTTGTGAACGTCGAACGTCGAGCGCCACTTACGAGATAGCGGCGCTCGACGTTCGAAGTTTACGTTTGAGAGATGAAAACTTCGGCCGCAACCTCGCTATTATGGCAATGCTGTGGTGGAACGTGTCGAACTATATAAATACGTATGGTATGAATCGATCTTTAAGTTACATTGTCTCTATCCTTAAGAGCCATCTGTTAATTTGTTACGTGTATAGTTTAAGAGGGGAGGGGACCGAAAAAAAAACACTATTGTACACGATCGGAAGGAGAGGTTCGAAGCATTGTTTATGCGGACTTTTTAGTGCTATTAGTGACTTACAAATTTGTTCTTATAAGCCTACTTACTAATCATGTGAATAAACTATCATAAAATATTTTCAGAACTTTTTAGTCATTTCTTCGGTGTCTATGGATTCGTGAACTCTCGTACAGTACACGTAATTAAAGGGGAAAGTAATTAACAACGGTACATCATTGTATACAAAAGAGAGGGAGGGTGTTAATTACTCAAATAAAAGTTTGGTATTTTATTCATCTATAATATCCTCGGGATATGATCTTGGCCACTCTGGACTACTTCATAAGTAATAAAAATACATTTTCTCTACATTTAATGTATTTTCTCGACAAAACTTTGTGTTTTTTACTGTCAAATCGTAAATATTTGATAATTTTAAAGAGTATAATTGGATTACGTATATAAAAACTTCTATTCGACAATGCATAGACTCCAAATAGAAAGAGAAAACACGTTTCAATGACGACAATACCAAATCGTGAATATAAACTGTATGATTATAATCCTATTTCTCCTTCCTCTTGCTCTCTGGACTCCATTTTAAAACTTGATTAAGTAACTTGTCACCACGTCGTCATTCTCCCTCGTTATAACGCCGATCAATTTTCGTTAATTTTCTTTATTTCGTCACCGATCCTGGTAATACAGTACTTTATTATTGTATAAGATATCATTGGATATTTTGTGGAACCACTCGAAGCCTTTTAAATTTCGATTTTCGGCATGAAAACTGGAATTTAAAAGGAGTCAAGTGGTACAACAGATATAAAACAGATGTTTCAACACTTGAGAGCATGCTGTCTTATCTTACACACGTCTTAATTTGAAAAGTCTAAAAGACACGTGAACAAACAGACGGTCTCTCCGAAGAAAGTAAAAAAGTTCTAAAATTAAAATACATTTTTTATTCATTTAAATTTAAAAAAAAATAAAATAAAACCTGACATTTTAATCAATAAAATATGAATATTTGTTAAAAAGAAAATAATTAAAGAGTTGGAGGAAGAAGAGAAAGAAATTTGCAAAACGGAAATTGAAAAT